TTTTTGCAATAAATGAAAAGTATCATTTTTCCATTTCCAAGAATACGAAGAAGAGACACGAAGTTATGGGCATTAAAATGCCATTACCCACAAGTGCACAGTCTTCGTTTCACTTTCAATCGGCATTAGTCTTCTTCGTTTCTCTGTGATTTACTGAGGCAAATCGGCATTACTCTGACAATAGAAATAGGCCCTTTCTCTTCTCTGTGATTGACTGAGGCAAATCGGTATTACTCTTCTTCGTTTCTCTTCGTTTCCCTTTCAATTTTTTAAAGATTTTTTTAGCATCTATCAGTTCATAATCTGCCGATTCATTTCCCGATCTCCATCCGCAGTTGCTTCATATAGCGATTCATCTCTCTATACAGCGATTAATCTTCAATTGGTAATTGATTCCCGGCACCGGCTGTAGCAAAGTGACAGACCTATTCAATCGGCGGTCCGGTAGTGCAGAGACGGCGGAGGAGCAGTAGGCGATTGGTTCCTCATTCCTTAAGTCTTCAATTTTACCAGGTTTTATCTTATTTTTTAAAATTAAGAACATGAGTTACTGATTTTTTTCTTACTTTTCTTTTTATTTTATTCACTAAGATGATTTATGTTTGATATATTCTGAAAAAAATTCCAAAAATAGAATTTGTAGATTGTTGACGACATCACAAAGATGGAACGTACTGTAGATTGATTTTAGTAACAAAATGTTGAAACTCTTCATAGTGGTAAAAACAAATTCTGCAATTTTGGTAACTTTAGCTGCCCATTTCATTGCCTCTTGTGTAGTGTAGCTCCTTCATAAAATATTCTTCTACATAGATTCTGTATTATTGACTTATTGTTTTGGCTTTTCATGTGTACATAAGTTAGTGGATAAAAATCATGTCTAAATGATTATATTTTAAGTTCTCTTGTTCTTGACTTAGGATTAGCTTTTCTTCTTAATCATATGTTTGACACTATGGAATTGTATATTTAACTAGATTTTGAGCTTCATTACCATTTGACAATAGAAACAGGTCCTTTCTGTCAAAATGCTGGGTAAATTGTTTGTTCATTCATGCTAACAATTTAATAGTGTATATTTAATTGTTTGTCTTTAATTTTTTTCTCACCCCCACTCTCTGAATTTTCTGGCTCCGCCCCTGTTTTTAGGACTAAACGAAAACGATGAAGACGGTGGTTCTCTTCCTAGTTGTAGTGTTTGTTGTGGCAGCGGCAGCGGCAGCGGCGCGCACATTGGCTGCCACGCCGTCCACCACAATTGACATAACTCACCGGTTAATCGCGAGGAGATTGCCGAACTATGGCTCCCCCCGTGGTATCCCGCCGTTTATCGTCCCCCAGACAAGCATCAACAGTGGGGATGCATTTAACAGCTTTAACTTTACGTTGAATACGCATTGGGGCACCCACGTGGATGCCCCGGGGCACTTTAATCAGACCCTTCTCGACTTGGGCTATGATGTTGACCACCTTGATGTCACCACCTTAAGAGGTACCTACCGTAGTTAATTAATTACCTTATAATTATTAACTTATTATTATCTTCACGATTTTTATGTTGTTAAATGCTTGGGATGTAGGCCCTTGTTTGGTGGTGGACATCCCACGGGACAAAAACATCACTGGTAGTGTTTTGTTTATTTATTTACATTTGCTCTATATATCAATATGATGTTTCATTTTACGTTGTGTAATCAATCTAAGTATTTACTTCAACACAATAATAATGTGGTATGCACAGAGCAAGTGATGAGGGAACTGGACATCCCCCGTGGGGTGAAGAGAGTCCTGTTTAAGACTCTCAACACCGACCGGAGGTTGATGCACCAAGCTGAGTTTGATGGGAGCTACACGGCGTTTACCACGACCGGAGCTCGCTATTTGGTCGACAACACGGACATCAAGCTTGTGGGTAAATACCATAGGAATAAATAATTATTCGACATCTAGTGCTTTAATGTTTGCTAATTGAATACTAAAATGTTTTTAAAAATTTCAAAGTCCGTATAATGTTCTTTGTGTAATATATATGTAGGCATTGATTACCTCTCCATAGGTATTGGAGTGCAGGATGAGGTGATTGGGGTCCACCTCACCCTCTTGAACATGAAGGTAATTAACAGAGGACTGCTGATATTTTATCTGAATTTAATTAGTGTAATCTTTAATTAATCATCTGAATTTAATTTTGTATGAAATTTGCAGGACATTATTCCGGTGGAGGGGCTAAACCTGGACGATGTGGTGCCGGGGATATACACGGTCAGGTGCCATCCGTTGAGGTTTCCGGGCTTTGACGGGTCGCCGGCCAGGTGCATTCTGCAGACCCTCGGATCCTCAGCTCGTTGGTTGTCCCCCACTGGTTCTTTGGTTATCCTATTTTTCCACTTGATTGTGTATTTTTGTTTATTATCTTGAGTATGGTGATACTTGTAGTGGCAGTAGTTAGTTCATTAAAACTGCACAATTTTTATGAAACATTGTTTCTAGTATTGCCTCCTAATTACCGATTGTGAATCTTCAATTTGCTCCTCTTCATTTTGGTCATTTCTTACGAGTTTGTTTGGAGGATCATTTGATTGAATATCATCTATCTTTTTAGCACGTATTTTTTTTCTACACTTTGTAACGACTTCTAGTTTTTTCAACATTAAACTTTGAAATCTATCTATATACAAATTGGGAAAAATAAACAATGTAAGTTTACAGTACCCTCGATTTGAGAAAGCGTATTAGAGAAGCAAAGTGGGTCGCAGCTTTTCTTGGGCTTTTCGCCGTGCCTCTTCATATTTCCAGATATGTGAAAAAGATCGAACACGCTCTCTTTCTCTCAACCTAGACGGCAAAGCATCTGGGGTTTTAAGCATGTCTCTTCCTGTGGCCATGGACAACAGGGAAAGGAGGGGGATCGATCGGAAATTGCAGCTTGGCCTTAAGCTTAGCCTTGCCCATGGAGGAAACCAGTGTAGCACAGAGGAAACGGATTCAAAAAAGAGGTAACACCTTATCTTCCTTTTCTATTTTATCTTTTTAAAATATTTATTCGTATATGCCCGAAGCTTCTTCGGCATCTCTCTATCCAAGTATTTAACCAATCTCTCTGTTTTAACCTTCAGATCTGAATAATCACAAAAAACGGAATAAGCAAGTTCCAAACTTTCGCGTCAGTTCTCCTGTTCTTTCTGCAAGAAGAATCAGCTGCATAGGGCTAATTTTCAACGCCAGGCTAGGTTTCTAGCCCGTAGTGAGTGGTGGACGAAAAAGTACCACATGTGGTGCACCTAGCCCTTGAGAAGAACACTCAAGGTATTTTTTTTATTTAATTTTATTTTAGTTATTTAGTTTTTTGCTGTTTTGATTTACAAAATCTTAAAATGTGTATATCTACAAAGCTGCCTTGAAATTTATCCAAAAATATTGTTTTTTAGATTTTTGGTATTTTGATTTTTGAAATCCTAAAATCTCTATTTATAAGGTTTTTGAAAACCCATTTTAATAATATCCTACAGCTTTAGTTGAGCATATTTTATAAATGATGAAAAAAAGTATCCTAGAATGAGTATTAGCTCTCGAATTATGAATGTTTTTTTAAGAATATCACTTTTTTAATTCCTTATCTAGGAGGTTGGTTGTTGATTCGATATATTCATATATTGAATATAATGTTGCTGAAATGTACTATATACTACTATTTGCTTTTAAATACTACATAGTGTTTGGTATGAGATAGAATTGTCCCATGAGGCCATTGTTTGCATGGAGCACAGTTTTAATAATGGGTCTAATTAAAAATTTTGGCTGAAGTAACATGCTGTATACTACCTCCGTCCCAGAGTATTTGTCCACTTTCATTTTTACACACCATCCAATGCACTTCTTTAATCCATTTTATCTTGTAATTTGTATATTAAAAAATTATAGAAATTATATATTAATAATCTATATGTTAAGACAAATCAAACAAGATCACACATGACTATATTTAGGCTTACACATTGAGAGAATTTGATGAAAGTGCTTAGATGAACAGTTCCAAAAGTCAAAAGTGGACGAATATAGCGGGGCGGAGGGAGTATTTCTTAAAATTACTGATTCTTTTTTGCTGAAGTAATAGCACACATTATTTAGAAGATAGTATGCAATTAGATTGAAATTTGAATATGACTTCCGGTAGATGATGTACACATCAATGTTACTGCCATTGATTTAGGCATTTAGTTATGTTGGACAGTGCAAGTATATCTATATACTTCAATCCAAATTTTGAAGTACACAGATAAATCTTGCTATTTTACACAAGTTAATTGTTGCACCTCTATTTTTCAATCAATTGCATATATTTTTTCCCCTCCTATTATATTAGGCATATAATTCTTTTTTATATAGAGTTTTCATATAGGTGAAGTATTTATATCTTTCCTCTTCCATGGCGAGTATCTCATATTCCAGTTTTATGCAGGTTTTAATATACAACGTTCAAGTGGAAACATCTATTCATTCTTTTCCCCTGGCACTATTGAAAACTCCAAATAGCATTGAGAGTTGTTCAATCCACGCAGCCATTTCTCACGCAGGGTTTCGATTCCCTCTTCTCCTCCATTAAGTTTTTGGTATTTAAGGTTACATTTATTCTTCTACTCTGCTCATCTATTTGGTTTCTAAGTTGTTCATGGCTAATTGGTTTCTAAATTTAAGATTTTCTCTCCTCATCCATTCATCATTCATTGGTTCCTAAACTTAAAATTTTTTATATTTCAGGGTACAGAGGATTACGATGGATGAGGGTGCTGAAAATCGAAGATGGGAAGAAGCACGATCGTTCTGTCTCCAATCGTTTCAAGCCAACTTTCTTTTTTTGATCGAATTTACTCTTGCATATACTCACGGGTAACCTCTACAATTTACTAGATTTTTGTTGTTGTTGAGGACTGTTAGCTTTTGCCCCACAAATTGCTCACTTGCACTCAAGTTTTACATCTTGTGAATTTTGCAAGTTCTGACTGGGATTCTTTACTTGGGTTTTATGCATGGAAGAGGCACAAAAAATGCTTGACAAAATGCCCCAATGAAGGCACATGAAATGTTTTACATTATGTTGCAATGAACCCTCAAACTTTCTGCTAATAATGAATACTATATATGTTACAAAAATGATAATTTCTGGATATTCCCTGTTTGTATAATCTTTTGATATAAATATGGGAATTGTTTTTTATTTTAAAGTAAGATTTGTTGTTTCTATTTTTTATTTTTGTGGAAGCACATTTGTTGTTTGCTGAGTTCCAATCTGCATGAGTAAATAAGTCTATGCATGATTTGTTTTGCAGTACCATCAAGTAATTTAAGGTGGAATTAAAAGATGAAAAGTTTATGGTGGTTTGAATTCTTAGAAGCTTTTGGATTTTGAGTGCGTCTTCACTCAAAAAAAGTAAGACTCTGTGCTCAAGTTCTCAACTCTTCATTGCTTCAATATTATGATGAGTTGGGCGTGTCACTCAAAAAAAGTAAGACTTTGTGTTGGTACCCCACAACAAAATGACCAAGTTGAACGATCAAAATACTCACGTTAACCTTCACTTTTTTGAATTGCCAATCTAGACCTTAATTCTCATTATTTATCATGTACCCCTCTGTCCCTTTAAACATTTCAACTTTCGGCTTTTATTGGTTTCATAAAATATTTAATTTTTATTTAAATGGACATACACAATTGCTCTTCTTTTTCTTAAATCTAATCAGACGTACCTCAACTTCCTTTTATGCTCTACCCATTTTGAGATTTCTCGAGTCCAACTTGTTTCAATTGTCGTCGTTTCGTCTTAGTCAAACTACTATATCTTCCTCGCCCAAAAGTCAAAATCGAAAAAATTTTCCGGGAGGGAGGGAGTATAATGTCTTATTCATAAAATATTCAAAATGTCAACTACATCACTCATACAATTTGCTACGACAAATGTTATAAAGGATCTTTCACTTTGTTATGCTCTGATTCGATCAATTTTTTAGTCTTCTTATATGGTACAACTTTTACATTTATAAATTCATGGACTTCAAAATGCAAATTGTTCCGGCTTCGGATCAGAAACCTAAAGTTTATTTATCTTTACTGAGTACGTATGAAGAACCAAACAATGGATAAATAAATAAATAATGAGTTTTTTGAGTTCACATAATAAACATGTTTTATCTGGCCTTTTGATCTCTCAGCTATTCTTTACGTACCATTTAACTTCTTTTTTATTTCAATGCAAATCGATCATTAATTTGTACTACTCAATGTTTTAATGACAGAGCCACAATGTTGACAAGCTTTAAAAAAAACGGACCAAAAACACTCAAACATAAGTAATTTCTCAATAACTTAAATTTTTTTTATTCCCTAAATTGGACTTAATAATGTCTAGTGAGAGATTCCCCTTGGAACATTTCATTTAAAATTTCAAAAATAAAATACAGTACAATAGATAATAAAAAAAGGGAGGTGGGGGTGGGGGGAGGAGGCCGGGGATAAGCCAACGCCAGAGGGTCCTTTACAGGGTGGACTTGGGCATGCTTTCTTCACACAGATCGCCCAAACCTCTTTCTCCTATTCTCTTGCATGTGCACCATGAAGCACGCTTATCTTCTAGCCGCATTAACGGTAGGCTCCAGGAGCTACTTCATCTAGTTTCAAACCCTCCACTTGGATTATGGCTGTACATGCATGTTTCGCACACAACGTTAGAAGTGTACGTACGTACCAATTAAGTGTTTGATTAGACATTATTGGATTTGTTTCGTACAAACAAAGAGCGCGGCCGGCCGGGCTTACCAACAAGCTTGACATCTGTGTTGTCTACCGTGAAGCCGGTGTAGCTCGAATCAAACTCTCCCTTGGCCATCAACTTCTTGTCCGTGTTCAGTGTTTTGAACACGACTCGGTTCACTCCCCTCGGGATAGCCAGCCCCTTCATCCGGGTGATGTTTTTGTTGAGGGCAGTTTCAACAATAACGAGGCAAGGACCTGCAGAACCCACATACATATACATACACATTATTAGTTCGTATATATGTTAGATCGTACGTGGTTTGAAATAAGTACAGAGTAATACTCCCTCCGTCCCATAAAACCTTTCTCCTTCCTTTTTCATCCGTCCCACAAAACACTTCTCATTTCTATTAAAAAGTCACTTTTACCCTTTACTTTTTCATACCCTACCTATCACATCATACCTTTTTACTAATAATCTATCCATCAAATCATACTTTTACCCATCACGTCAAAGGACATTTTTGGAAATTCAATACCAAAATACACTACCCTTAAATCACTTCTAAAAAGCAAAAGTCCCATGTTTCACGGGACGGAGGGAGTATGTAATAAGTGGTCAAGCCAAGTAATCGTACCAATCAAGGTCTCTAGACGGAGGGTGTCGGTGTCCAGAGCGTGGATGTTGAGGGAGGCTATTTGGGTGGCGGAGGCCGCCGCCAACTCCTCTTTCTCGACCTCATGCTGCGGCGGCAGGTGCCTCACCGCCACCAACACGGCCACGATTAAGGCGGCTAGAAGATGAGCGTGCTTCATGGTGCGGGCCGAGAAGACAGACCGTGGGAGATGAGGAGGAAGAAAGGGGAGGGAGAAGAGAAACAAGAGAATAGGAGAAAGAGGTTGGGCGATCTGTATGAAGAAAGCATGCCCAAGTCCACCCTTTAAATATCCGCAGAGTATCGAGGATAGTGACTAGTGAGATAGACCGGGTGCCAAAAAAAGGACAAGGGACTGAAGGGAGAGTTTTGTTTTGGAGAAATTTACTTAAATAGAACTAAAACATAATAATTTTTCCAATATAGGACCATATATTTTTATTTCCTAAAGTAGGACTTTTGGTCATTATGAAGTAGTCATTATTCAAGTAAATGTCCATTATTACTGGACATTATTCCTCTTACTAGGTCATTATTAAGTCATATTTAGGGAATTAAAAAGTTTAAGTCCTATATTAGAAAAGTCATTATGTTTTAGTCTTATTTAGTGCAAATTTTACTTTTGTTTTACCATTTGTACATTTCACAAATAACTAGATTTTTTTTAAAGGGAAGTTGATTTTTTTAAATATTACTCCGTAATTCATAGCATTAATAAGTATACTAGCATCACAAATACCAGCTCGAGGGACATACCGCATACGCCAACTACGGAACCTAATAATCACGGGGCAACCTGATTCGTTGATCGACTAATAATACACGACCATGACAAAGAAGAAAAATTTGTCATCAAAAGCATACAATTCTGAATCACCTCCAAGAAATAAGAAAATGAACCTCATTCCACCCTAGAGTCTGATAGACTGTCAAATTGTTTATCTCAATAATATATTGTTGTTGACTCGTAATCCAAAGGCGTCTTTGAGCCATTTGAGTGCCTCTCGAGTTCCTATTGCCTCCACCATGAGAGGGTTTTCCAGTTTTTCCAAACCTTTTTGAAGCTCCCCACACAAATCCTCCCATACCATCTCGCACCACCATTCCTACGCATGCTTCCTTCGTATTGGGGTCGAAACTAGCATCAACATTACATTTAACTATTCCTTCTTCCGTGTTTTAGTTTAATGCTTGCCAACCTTGTGAAAAAGAAAGAAAAAAAAAACTGTGCGGAAAAGAATGAAAAAACAAACGAGGAAGGGGTTTGAGAACCTTGGTATTCGGGTGAGGGTAGGGGAGATCCACCCCACTAAACCAAATGCTTAACAAATTACTTTGAGACAATCTTTTTTTATACTACGTATATTAATAATTTTACAAACCTAATACCTATAGTGACCTACACCAGGGTCTGTGGGGTCGTAGGACCCCACACAACTCAAGGTGGGTCTGCATCTAGTTGTGATACAGGAATTTGTTTTATATTCTAACACAAAACTCATATGCAAGTGTAGTCTTTTTGAGTCTTAAACATAGCTTTCAGAACCGGCCCGGACGGGAGACCGAACCGTTCATGATACTGGTTCACTAGTCAGACCGGTGGTTCAAGTGGTCGAACCAGTGGTTCACGAATATTTGAAAATATGAACCACGCATATATATATATATATATATATATATATATATATATATATATATATATATGAAAAATAATATTTATTGAAATAATACTTCCCTTTGAAATAAATGGGTATTTAAAAAAATAAAAAAAACTATAAAATAAGAGGTGACATTTTTTGATTTATAATTTACACAATTTTTAAAAAAATACTCCCTCCGTCCCACAAAAAAGTTCCCATTTTGATGTATTTTTGGTCAAACAGTTACACGCTTTGACCATAAATTAAATATAATCTAAATAAAGAAATGCTAAAAAAATTTGAGATATCAAAACTAGATCCTAAGATGAATCCAATTATATTAAATTTATTTTATAATTCAATATACCTTTCTCACAATTTGTAGTCAAAGCGTGTAAATATTTGACTAAATACTATTCAAAATGAGAACTTTTTTGTGGGACGGTGGGAGTATTTAATTAAGTTAATAGTTTTGTGATATGAAGTTCATATTAGAATCAATTGCATCAATATTTTAGAGTTTGAAGAATCACAGTTTCAACATTATATTTTCAAAATTTTTAAAAATAAAAAAAAGTCTTTTTAGAATATGTATAATTGTATATTTTTAAGAATGTAATATATAACTGATAATGTCTTTATGTAACAAAAGAGATTGTTGTATGGATGGTGGATAGCTTAACAAGAGAACAAGTTGGTCATGTGTTCAAAACCCCCAAGAGTAAATATATTTAGGACATTTGTGCAAAAAAAAAGGGAAAAAAAGGTCACCAATTAAACCGGCCATTTCTTATCCTTCGTGCTGGTCCGATGCACAGGGCGGTCTTTGGGGCTGGACCTGACCAGTTTTGCTCCCGTTTTACCGGTTCCTTAAGTTCGGTCCGGTTTTTAAAACTATGGTCTTAAACGTGAAATTTTAATGATTACTTTTAAATTGAGTGATGCAGAGTTTTGAACATGTAACCAGTTTTGCTCCCGTTTTACCGGTTCCTTAAGTTCGGTCCGGTTTTTAAAACTATGGTCTTAAACGTGAAATTTTAATGATTACTTTTAAATTGAGTGATGCAGAGTTTTGAACATGTATTTGCTACTCCCTCCGTTCTGGAATAAAACTGGTCCGATCGTTACTCTAATTGGTTTAGAATTTTTTTTTTTTTGGAGAGGCATTCCAATCCAATTTCAGTCATAATTCAAAATTTAGAATTTGTCCACCTTTTTATTACCTTTTCACGTTTGGATTTACCCATCCTCCCCATCCATTGAAATCACTTTTTTCACGTACCCATCCATTCATGTTTCTCAAAATGGTTTACTCACTCCGCTCCATCCTTTCTCACTTCCCCTTTGTGTTGGAACTATTTGTATCATTGTATGAAACGTAAAGAGGCGACTTTTAATTGTGTACTCCGCTCCATCCTTTCCCATGATCGCACCCATTGCCATCGGTTTCATTGTGGGGGCGAATATCTTTGGTTGGTGGGGCATTTGATGGAGCATCCATGCATGAACCTTTAATCATTCTTTGGTTTATTTTTCATTTTCATTCCCTTTCTTCTATACAATTAGACTTATATTCATTTCTTAATTAATGAAGTTGTGCTTGGAAGTGAATAAAGTGAGTGATAAAAGAATAATATTCCCAAAACTATGAGACCTAGGAAAAAGAGAGTCGATCTGGAAAATCAGGAAACAGACATTACTCATTCATGTGTATTTTTCCAGTTTTTTGCAAAGTGTAAGCAAGTTTATGTATAAAGCATATATAATAACACACAAACTAGCTAGCTAGAGAGCTGATGAAGAACACAGTTAAGAAACATCTCTGAGGAGCCAAAGGCCAAAGAGTTATATTAAACCTTTAGTATCATAACATGCCAAGTTCAGATGAGTTTATCTATTGTTTCGCGGATAGAGACGCGCCCGGAGAGGGCTTTTCATGACAGTAGTGAACTCTTGCTTTTCGGTGAGATCAACGCCGCCGCCATTGATGCACTTCCATTCAAAGTTTGCACTTCCATATAATAAGAGTTTGCATTGGCACGCTAATTACTCATACCAAAAGAGAATGTAACATTTTGAAATTTCTATAAGCACCTAATGTGTAACACACTCAAAAAGATATAGGCCAAACCTCTCTACTCATGGATATCGGGTTTAGCAGATTAGGAAGATTGGCCCAAAATTTCATCTAGGACAAAAATGTGGTTTGGGCTCAATAAAATAGAATGACTAGCCCGGGTACGGATTCGACCAATAGAAGCTTGATTTATAAAACTGGACCTAGGCCTGGATTAATTAAACAGTGTGGCAGCCCACCCCATGGGATATTGATGAATGATCCTCGGCCCACAATTGACACATGTTTCTTCAATCACGATGAGAAAATAAGGCATGATTACATGCCATGAGTTGTAACAAAAAATATTAAAGGTAGGGGTCTAGAGTAAAAATGATTAGTTCTCTTCTAATTTAGTAAAGGAAATACTACTTTCCTCCCTAAATATTTGTCTAATTTTGTTTTTTGCAGTCAATCTTCGTCAAGTTTGGTAAAGGAAATACTAATTTAGTAAAACATTCTTGCCACCCATCACTGCCACCTTCTTATTTGTATGTTGATTTGTTTGACCTGTTTACTTCATCAAATAATCGATTGTAGGTTTGTTCTAGTATTAGAATTCATAGATAGTAATAATTCATGTACATGGTCAATTGTAGGACTGAATTATACTCCCTCCGTCCCCCTAAGATGTTCTCATTTTGACTTTTAGTGGTTTTTAAGGAGAGTTGAAAAAAGGTGAAAGTTTATCATAATACCCTTAATGAAAAATGGGTGGAGTGTATTAAATGAGGTGGGTGAGATGTAATAAATAAAGTAAGTGTGGGTAGTTGTGGTATTTTACTTGTTAAAAAATGAAATGAGAAGATCTATTGTGGACAAAGAAAAAGGGTTATTGGAAAGATCTATGGTGGACAGAGGGAGTATAAAATTTGTTTGTGATCGCTTAATTGTGATTTGTTTAAGTTAATTGGTGGGTTGATGAGGAAGAGACCATGTGGTTTGTGGGAGTCATTTCATGGAAAACTTAATACTCCATAGAAGTTGCGTGCGTAATTGACAAATTAAAGTAGGGAGTACTTAATTATGGAGTAGATCACAGTGAAGTGGATTTAAATACACGTACTCCATAGTGCATGCACCGTACGTGTCCATCGTCACAGAGCCTTACTTGTCCAATCGATCTCTTCTTCTTCTTCGCCTTCTCTATTGCTTTGTCGTCCAATCTCTCTTTATGGCAACAGTGGCTCTGGCGGCGGCGGTGGCGGCTCTGGCGGCCGCACCACCGCGCTTCATTGACACCACCACCCGTGATGTGGACGGAATTCCGATGTACGGCAGCCCCCACGGCCTACGGAACTTCACCCACAAAATATCGAGCATCAGGGACGGGGCTCCGGCCAATGTGGCCAACTTCACCCTCACCACCCACACCGGCACCCACGTCGATGCCCCGGGGCACTTCAACCAAACTCTCTTGGATGAAGGCCTCGATGTCGACTCTCTCGACCTCGAGACCTTAAACGGTATGTTTCAATGTTAATTTCTTGTTATTAATAAGTACGTTATACGGGCATACTTCTGTCAAGGAACCAATTCGATCAAATGGTTGTGGCCCAAGAACAATTATTTATTATTCTAACAACTTCTGAATTCTTACGTTCTTGCAGGTCCTTGCTTGGTTGTTGATACTCCCCGCGACAAAAACATCACTGGTATTATCTATCTTTTATTATTTATTGATTTGTTTTTTGAAACTGATCGAATATTACTAATTTAGTTCCACAACATGCTTATGCAGCTGAGGTGATGAGGGGGTTGAACCTACCCCGGGGAACGGAGCGGGTGCTGCTGAAGACGCTCAACACGGACAAGAAATTAATGAACCAATCGGAGTTTGACTGGAGCTACACCGCCATGACGGCGGACGGAGCTCAGTATTTGGTGTCCAACACGGACATCAAACTCATTGGTACGTTTAATTAAGCTTTAATTAATATCCTCTCTATTTTATTTACTACATTTTTTAAGTAATAACTTAATTAATTGTGTTACATATTTGTGAATGAATTCTCAGGAATTGATTACTTGTCCATCGGTGTTGCTGACCAGGTGGTGCCTGTTCACCTGACCTTGTTGAACGCCAAGGTAGTTTATAACACACACTTCAAACTCTAATAAATTTACGTGAAAATATACATTATTGTCTGGACTAATAGTAATTAACTTTAATTTTTTTTGCAGGTCATAATCCCAGTGGAGGGATTGAACCTGGACGGCCTGGCACCGGGAGCCTACACCGTGCACTGCTTCCCGTTGAGGTTGGTGGGCTTGGACGGGTCGCCGGCCAGGTGCGTCCTCGAGACAAGCGGCGTACCAACCCCCACCAAGGCGGCGGCGGCACCTTTGCTCTTTTTTTTTACTTCTTGTACTATTTGTATTTTTCTTCTAATTTCCTTTTTTATGTAATAAAAGTGTTCTTTTTTTGAAAAGTTTGCCTCTCTTATTTCCGATATATTCCGTAGAAAAATCATTACGGCTTAACATTTGGAGAAATAAAGGACAATTAAAGCATGGGCAAAAAGCATATCCAAAATAATACTCCGTACTCTGTAAAAGATGTCTGAAAATTTTGACTTTTAAAGTCAATTATACTTTCGAGTTGCAATAGACGTAGGTGGGGGGAGTAGTTTGGGTCGACACTTGGCGGGGGGTTTACCGGGGAGGTTAGGGAGGGTAGGAACCATCAATTTCATGAGCGGAGCTCCGTAGGGGGCAGTAACTTCCGTAGCCACTGGATTCCAGTAGTTATGGAACCGGCCTCATGTCATATACGTCCTCAATATGACATCACAAGAATAATGCAGGGAAAGATACTATTACTCAAAAGCTTTAATTACCTTAATCTTCTGCATGAGCTGCTCTATTTTTCTTAATACCATCTTCAATTTGCTCTATTGTCAACTTCTCTGTTACATATATTTCTATATTCATGAAATATATTCAAACATATTTTATAATGATGGATCAATAGCTTGTATCATTAAAGTGTCGTTTCTTGGGAATTTGTTAGAATATACGAAGTAAGAAACATTTCTTGAGGCACAACAACAAGCTTAAGTTTTTGTTTGAGTTGGTTCCTTGACATGGTATCTGAGCTTGTTGACTAAGAGGTCACATATTCGAAATTCAGCGCCACCCATCTTAAAAAAATTAAGGTTTCACGTGCACGGCTCGAAAAAGACTTTTACCTGCACGTGAAGGGGCGTGTTAGAATATAAGAAACATTTCTAACATAGTGAATTTTACATTGTTGTCACAAATGGAAAAAACCCAAACCTTGGCCATGACTAATAAAGGATCTAACTAAAAGAGCCTTTATATATTTTTAGAAGGGGCCAGTTCCTATGACATTATATTGTGAATCAATATCATTGGATAACTTGGGGTGTTTCGGTGCCCTGTTCGTAAATTTGACGATTCATATCCTCCCGATAAACCTTCCACTCCACCCCAACTCTGGATGGTACTGGAGCTTATTTGAGATTAATCTCGCAAAACCCTAGGCTATTTCCATTCGTTAATTATTTGATAAAATAATATTCCCTCTTTCTCGCAAAATAATATTCCATAAAACCCTCCACCTTTCGTTTTTTTCCAATTCTCTAAAATGCTTCCACTTTCTATTAAAAAACCACTTTTACCCTTATTTTTTCATACCCTACCTATCACATCATACTTTTTCACTAATAACCAAACTATCACATCTTACTTTTACCTATCACATCAGGGGCAAAATTGGAAAGTCAACCAAAATTATACTTTTATTGTTTTGGCCCAAAGTCAAAATAGGAAGCGTTTAAAGGAACGAAGGAGGTATAATCTTGTCACCTCTTTTTTGTAGAACTTTTGATGTAGTTTTTAAATATATAAATTTTATTTTTAAATTCTACACCTACAATCAAATAAGTAGAGTTGAAAATAAAGTCTGTTAAAACTCGTAAACAGAAATGAAAATAAAGTTTTAGGACGAAGGGAGTAACATTTTTATTTAATTTGAAGTTAAACTTACTTATATTGATTGAAAAAAAGTAAATATTGGACAAATAGTAAAAAAGAGAAGTACTTTCCAAAGCTAAGAGGTAAAAGCCCATTGATGACATAAACCATTGAGGAAATAGCATACCATATTTAAGATAAATCGAGTTTTCTTGACATTGCTAAACAATGTCATGGGATGATCCAATGATCGTCTGATGCTCCGATCGTAAAATTGATTATTTTTATCCTTTTTAAACATCGATAAACCTCCACCCTATCCCGAACTCACTGTTTCACCCCCGGCCCTTCAATTGCATCCCTGAAATTTAATTAATTTTGAAGTTAACATTTTGACTCCTAAGTCAATTAAACTTGAATGATTTAACCAAAGAGGGTGGGGCGGTAGGTTTGGGGTGTGATAGAATGGGAGGGTTTATCGGATGAGTTAGAAATGTTCGGCACGGCTAATTTTACGAAAGGAGCATGGAACAGTTCTTATCTCATGACATTGCTTCAGACGCTTCCGATCACGGAAGGATCATCGGAACCGCCCCATTAAAGACTACAAACCATAACGTATGGAGCACATTATTGAACGCAAATGAATGTTTGTTTATTCATTATACGGAGTACGTTTTATTCCTTTAAATGTTGAGTAAAAGTAAATAGCCGTTTTTTTCCCTTAAAAATGTTTGTTTATTATATTCATTATACGGAGACGCCTATTCTAACCTATAAATACATCCTATATAAGCTTGAGGTCAACAATGCAAGAGATACAATTCCTTCTTCTCATTACATTCCCATTGAAAATATAATATTATTTTTTTGAAACTGAAAATATAATATTATTGTTTTATTCACAATGGCCAAATAACTTCGCTTACTTTCTTGTCTATCTCTTAATCACTTTAGGTAAAATAATAAATTGTCCTATATTTCATCCTTTTCTATTGATTTCCTAATAACCTATAATAAAATAAACACCACTCTTATTCTACTATTATCCTTATCAAGATTTTTTTACATTTGACTCTTTTTATTAGATGGTTTATAAGTATTGCCAAAATCACTATTTAAATGACTATATTTACACCTTTTACATAAATTTGTTAAATTCACACCCACTGATTTAAATTTGATGTTTGTGTGAATTTCACAAAATTAGCTTAAAAGTATGAATAACTGAATATACTTTCTCCATTCTCAAAAACAATTCCTCTTTCAAAATTTTCACTTCCAACAAAACACTTTTTATCAAAAAATCATTTTTACCATTATTTTTTTATATCCTATTTATCACATCATATTTTTTCTCTAATAATAATTTATCACATCTTACTTTTACCCATTACATCAAGGGAAAAATTGGAACTTAACTTTAATTTAACACTTCCTTATTTTTACATTTGGTCAAAATTGAAACTCTTTTTTAGAATGGAGGGAGAAGTCATTTGAAGAGTATATATCGCAACACTTTTTCTAAACAAATTTTTAGATAACACGGAAAAAAATTTAGTTTAATATCATTCATTAATTCTTAAATATAGTTTTAACTTTTTTTTGGTTATATTAACTTTACCAATCGCCATTTGGGCAGGGAGGGGAGAGGGGGGAGGCGTTTTGGGCAAGAGGGCTTGCCGCAATATAACTTTAAATATTACCATGATTTAATGAAAAACTTTTCTAAATACAAATAACTCAAACATGTGAGAGGCGGAATACTTTACATGTTCTAAAACAAATTTTGAGCGTCGATCATTCTTTTAGCTAGCTCTTACTAACCTGTCAAAAATAAAGTTGTTCTTAAAATATTTGATCCCCCAAAGCTTAGCATCTCCATTTGTTGAACAATTGACATTATGGTTATGTCCAATGTCAAGACCCCTATAGTTCACAAATGCTTCCCTTGGAGACTTTGAAACATACGGCTCAAAGTAATCATATGACCATCTGATCCAACTCACATTTTCTTCAATTGCCTCACTCCCTTCTTGAATTGGCTCCAAATCACCATTTGTTGAATTATGAACAAATTCCCTCCTCTAAGAGGAGACGGAGTTGCAGACTCCATCATCTCTCCCATTTTCCACAAATACGACGTTGGTATAATCACACCCCTTAAATTTTGACGAAGTAAATGCCAAATCCCCTCCCACCCTTCCAAAGGAATTAGATCCTTTACAAAGTCGGACTTGGCCCTAAAGTAGTACGGTTTTCCGTTATTAACGGTGGCATTCAGCAAATCCTTTAGAGGCAAGTTAGGGTAGTCGCCATTAGATTTAATTGGTATTTACACCGCCAAAATTTAATGGGCATGATTATCCTGACAGCGTATGGAGGAAAAATTGGAGAGATAATGGAGTTTGCAACTCCGTCCCCGCATAAAGGTGAAAATTTGTTCATATTCAACAAATGGTGAGTTAGAGTCAAGAAGGGAGTGATGCAATTGAAGAACATGGAAGTTGAACTTGGTGTTCTGGATGCCGTACCCCAAGATAGATAAGAACAATGTGTCACAAGAGTTACGGATCATGCATTGTTGGAAACCGGAGACGTTGGGTAACAGGTGGCTCGCGTAGGAGGTAAGGATAAGCAAGAAAACGAAGACCCAAAATGTGATTTGAGTCTTCAATTCATCTCTTCTCCCTCATGAAATTATTTATAATTTTTGATTTAATGGTGTTGGGAATTGTTATCGGTGGTATGGTTTGGTTATATGTTACCACACCACTAATTGGAATTAAAGTGGATCAAACGTTAAGCACTTGTGGTTCCATCCATATATATAAGAGGTGCTGACTAGATTTTGACCGATGTTGGCCCCATCCGATCGCCGATCGCCGCCATTGCTCATTGCGGCTGGTCTCTGGTCGCCTCTATTGGTTTCTGGTCACCGCCGTTGCTGGTCGCCGGTTGCCGCCGCTGACTGGTGGTTGAACGGTGTTGCAATTCTTTTTAATTAATTTTTCTATTTTTAAAATTTTAAAAACATTGACTTTTGGTGTTCAAAGTGATGAGTTTAGCTTTATTTTTAGCCATTTTAGGTGAGCTTTGCATTGACTATTGGTAAACTTTACTGTGTAATGTGGTGAGTTTATAATGTGGTCGGAGAAGTCAGTGGCTTGGGCCCTTGGCCAACTCTTATTTACGTTCTCACGCTATAGTCGGGCCACAACCCAATTGCACTTCCAATCCAATGCACTATTGAAATCGGGTCAGCCCAAACGATTCTCGTGTTTAGAGCAAAAGCAAAATCCTTCCTTTAATGTTTAAACTATAAAAATAAATTAAAGATCGAATCTTAAACCTTCATAATATAAAAACATTAGTTTCAGCCACATGAACCGAACAATCAATTGCCTTCATAATAGGAGTAGCCTCAGTAGCTAATCCATGAATTATTTTCTTATGTATTCTTTTATTTGATTCAACTGCCTTTTATTCAATTGACGGACTCTATGTCCAACTCAATTTATATGATTGTAATTATAAAATCAAAAAATAAAATTTATATATTTAAAAATTACATAAAAATCTCATAAAATAAGAAGTGACAAGATTATATTATTGTACTCCGTATCAAATAACTAACAAAAATAGGTAAAGAAAGTAATTAAAATTTAACTATGTAAATAATAACTGAGAAGAACAGTTTGGAACGAAAAGAATATACATGTCTAGTATGTTGCATACAATGCATAGTACGTACTCCCTCCGTCCCTAATTTGATTACAAATTGCGGGTTACGGAGTAAAATTTCCTACTTTTTGAAATCATTTTATTTACAAATTGGTATATCAATAAAGTATAAAAATTACATATTAAAAAACTACGTCAAAAGTTCTACAAAACAAGAGGTAACAAGAATATTTTATTTTATCAAATACTGGATGAAATCGCGTAAACAAACAAAAGTTATCGACAAGAAAGAGAAAAAAAGATTGTAATCTATTTAGGAACAGAGGGAGTATAAAAAAGGACACGTTAACTAGTGAGAGGAGGCAGTGATATGTTGACAAGGTCGTTAACTCCATTCATCCGCTTCGACTTATCAACTCGTAAACCATTTGTCTCTGTAGTCAACGTTGAGCCTTGTTCTAAGAATATTGGTGGTAAGAGGACACAAAAATTGTAACACCATTTTTATACCGTATGTTTGTCAGTGTTTGAGCATATATAAACAATAATGTGTGTTTGTGTGACAAATGGTATTGTAACTTTGGTGTTTCCCGGCCCTAACATTTTAAAATTTCTTTTGGTGATAATGTGCAATTAAAATGAATGGTAAAGAGGATGTGGTGTGTACAATTGCACACTTAAGGTATAATTTTGGTGTACCATTAGCATCTCCTTGGAAAATGTTAGGGGTTCAGTGTACTCCAAATATTCACACCAACTCCATAATCACTAAAATTTGCATGTAAAATTTAGAATAAAAAAATGCATAAAAATGAATAGTAAAAAGACATGTTGTGTACATTTAGGGTACATAAAAAATGTACGAGTAGCATCTCCCTTTATCTTTTTACAATATATTTCACATTATGCAAGTACATAGTACTACATTTGTAAGGATTCGTTAAATTTAAATTTTTTAAAGCTAAACTGGATAACTTTTTTTAATTTTACAATAAGAAATTTTGATCATCAATAAAATTTAAAATCTTAAATAAACTAGTTCAAAAAATAATTTTATTATATTTGTCATATAAAAAAAAATATCCTTATCTCAAATAAAATATTTAAATTAGGATGCTGAATTGGATGAATAAGAGTCGGATACTCGGATTGGTGAGGGATGGATTTGGGCCGGGAAAGGGACCTAGCACGGCAGTTCGTCGGGAAAGGGAGCTATCCCGCCAATCGGAGCATCGCCGCTCCTCCATCCGATAGGCAAGCGTTAACGGATCGGAGACGAAGGCACGCTACTACCGCCGAACAGCACAAAGTAGAGTTGGACAAAGGCGTCGGGGACAGGTGAAGTCAGCAAAATCAGATCCTTCGTCTTTGGAACCCAAGCTAAAGGCGTTTCGCTTCTTCCGTTCTTACTCCATAATAACTTCTGCGTTTCAGAGCTCGGGCGTAAAACCTATCGAATTTGGTTTAGCCTAGAAGCAATTAAACGGATGATTGAGCTTGGGCCATTACCAGATTTGAAAAAAGATGGAAAGCTTTCTCTCTATCTCTTTTGGCTCTAATCGATGGGGAAGCTTGGTGAGAAGGCATAATCCCTATTGTTTTTCCAGTTGATAGAACCAATTCGTGTCGGTCTCTATTCTGGTGTGCTCTGGGCAGATTCTTTGATAAGGTTGTAGATTACAATGATGGAACCTCCATGACAGACCACCCAACCGAAGAAACTGTTGGAACTTGGAAGTACCCACTCCATATGGGAACTCAATCAAAGCTCTAGCAAACCAATTGAAGAGTTCTTTCCTTTCGGCTACATTTCAGACTATGGGCAGAAACTTCACTTCTTGCTTAACCCCCTCCACATGATTCCCCCAATCCGGCTATGGAGTCAGTTTCAGGCAGCAATGTGTTTGAATAAATCTTCAACTAAGAACCATTAGCAATTGATATCTCTGATTGGCTCTGGTGCCTCAGCAGTTCAAAATCCAGAGATAGTGAAAGGTGCAGAAGCAGATCCTCCAAAGGATTTGGAGGGAATGACTTGGTCCAATGTGGTAAGGATGGGGGGTTGGAGGTGTCCTCTCAGGATATCTCTAGCTACCAATGAGATTGAGAAAGATGATGTCCTGAGGAGGAAGTGGATGTTCAATCTCATAAACAATCAGAGATCTATGTCTCCGAGGAAGTGGATGTTCAATCGCTAAAGGCAGTGAAAGGGATGACTAGAAGCATGACGAAGGTAATGCTCTCTAACTCAGAAAGGGGGGAAAGACTTGCTTTGGCGGAGAAACGAACCTATTTCCTTGCCGGATTGGGGTTAATTTAGCACAAAAATAACACTAACAGGAGCAAGAATGAGAAAAGAAAAGGAAAGAGTAAAAAACACCAAGGATGTTTTCAATCTTTTGTTTCTCTTAGAGGTGGTTTTTGGCATTTGCTTTATCTGATTTATTGGATTCTAAAGGACTGTGCAAGCATTTCTTATTGTTGTTGGTTGTTTGGAGAGGATATTGATTGCTTTATGATTGCTACTCCGTGTAAGGGTAATATGCATCTGCAGGTTGAAGTGGTTTTTGATGGATTCATTTTTTTTATAATGCTGGCAGAAACGGTTCAGGCTCCAACCTTGTTTCTTTTCTTTAAAACTGGGACAAAGCGATTTGGTACTCATCTATTCCTATCTGTTTTCATGCAGTGGGGATTTTGCCGGTGTGAAGATATATGTTGGGTCAAAACAAATAAAAATAATGCCACCTGAGGATTACGCCATGATTCACATACTCTCCTACAGCGCTCGAAGGTGCCCTTTCCTGCATTTCTATTAGCTCTAAGTTATTGCAAAAGTTCGACTCTCAATTTGTTTCCAGAGAAATAACATGTAGAAAATGATGTCCAAGGAATATGTTTTCTTAAAAAATGTTTAGAGAAAACAAGTTGTTCTATGTATAACACAATGCTTTATACACAAATAGAGAAAATAGAAATGTTTTGGCTAAGTGGAAGTCATTTTCCACGAAAACCAAAATTAATCAGGAAAACAATTTTCCTTCAGAAAGATAGTTTCCAGTGCCAAACACAAGAAACTATTTTGCTGGTAAGGATGATCACAACTTTTTCCTAGTACACAAACGGAGCTCCAAGTATCATGTAGATAAAAATGATGAGAAATACCTAAATAGGATCAAAACATAGACAAAATACCTAAATAGGACTATAAACTTAAACTCCCCTATCCAGGACTAATTTTTACACGGCAACCCGAAAATACCCCTCTTTTCATCGAAAATCAGAACTAGATGCTGATTTTGAAGATGAGATGCGGGAGTAAAGGCCAGCAAAGCAGCAACATTAGCAAAGAAGGTTTTAGCATGATTTTAACAAGAAACATCTGTCTCCACAGCTGCCCCGCCACCGCGATAGACAACCATTGTCGCCGCAGCTTCGTGGGCTGCCACCATCACCGCCGATGCCACCACAACCTTCCATGATTGCTGCCGCCGCAGCCGCAACCTGCCCTCATTGTCCTCACCGCAGGAATCAGCAATCACTGCCGCCATAGTCCTACAATGCCACAGTAGCTGTTGAAAATAACACACAGTGCCAAATTGAACATCATAATGCTAAAAAAAGTATTAAAAAAATGCTAAACCCAACTCCTCAAATCTACTAATACATCAACCTAATTCAGAGTTGCCGCTGTTGATAATCAAAGCCAAACCCACGAATCACCGCCGTTGGCAATCTAAGGTAAAGCTATGAGACCATCGATTCTTATGGAGGCATGACAGAGGGAGGGAAAGAGAGGCGGAGATTGATGGATGGAGAAATGTGGATGTGCGTGAATTGAAATAGGAAAGCTGTAAAAAGAGAGTTAAAGAGAATGGGTTGAAGTGAAAACGGATTGTGCGAAGCAAATTGTTAAATAACAACAACAACCCAGTTGAATCTCCCAAGAGTAGGGTCTGGGGAGGGTGTGGAGGGTGTGTGTACGCAGAACTTACCCCTACTCGAAAGTAGAGAGGCTGTTTCCAAAAAGATCCCCGGCTCAACATCGAAAGTTGCATTGCTTGACTAACTGCTACTTCATTAATTAAAGAAGTGCAGAAAGTTTAGAGATTCATTTTGATTTATTCCATCATATCCCAAAGCCAAAAAATGGTGAAATTATGGCTCCATCGCAGATGATGGAAAGTGAAGCAAATTGTTAAAGTGGAATCATATACAGATTAATTAGCTTCAGGGGTAAAATTGTAATCGATAGTCCTATTTCGGGAATTAAAACATAGAGGTGTTATTTTGGACCTGACTTCTATATTTTGGTCCTAGTTAGGGCAATTTCTTATAAAAATGTGCACTTACACGTGTAACTTTCTGAAGAGAGCTAGATATCCATTTTGATATAGGAACACTGCATGACGGGAATTGAGGGAACTGTCCGTCAAATTAAAGTACAGATGGCCATATAATTCATGCCAACATTGACACTGATGTACGTAATTATTGCTAAGGAGCCTCCTAATGGTGGGTTATTTCACTGAGTTTGATTACTTTTAGACTATGTTTTCAAATAACGAATAATTAAGTACACTTTAAGTTTTGTTAAAACACCAAGGAATGTACAGAGGAAAAAAAGTCATCCTTAAAGATGTATTTGGGCAGTGTTGGGCTAAATATGTATTGTATCATATTTTCCCGGCATTAACATATTCTGATAGGATCCCTGCTGCCAGAAAATATCATGTTTGCAATAAAAATTTATGTTTCTGACAAATGTGATGTGTATCGTACTTATTCACTAATGAAGTTTGGTATTTTTGCAAAGATGGACCCCCTGGCAAAGTTTGTTTCTTGGAATCGCCCAACAACTTCGCTACTGTTGTGGTCGGAGCTGGTATGCGATGGAAAGATGGACGACTGGAAGCTGTAAAAGGGTAGAAACGAAGGACAACAGGAGGAGGAGGAAAAAGGATCCTGAGTGGCGGTGTAATGTATATAACGAAAGTGAGAGAACAGAAACGGTATGTAATGATGGAGTTGGTGAAGGCCCGGTAACGGCAAGAGGCACGCGGAGGGCGTGTGTCGGGTCATGGAAGACTCCCCAAAGGAGTGGGGGCTTGTGATGGGCCATTGGGCTAATTGAAAGGCCCAACCCAAAGGTGCCACTGCGGTCTGCAATCTAGGTGGCCTGTGGAGAGTTGGGAACGCCGATTGAGGATCCGCTGTAATTGGGCCGGGTTGCCACGATACGCGTCCAAAACAGTTGCACAACCAGAGAGGTTGGATCAACGGTTAGGGTGCGGTAGCAGGTAAGGTTGTGGTTTCTATGGATCCGGTTGAGAATCATGCGTGATCTAGTTACTTTATTTATCACCTACCTTAAATATATTATACTTTATTTTTTTGTTATTAGCACTCCAAAATCCATTATATGTGAGTAGTAAATTTTAAAGTGACAATAGAGAAACGCAAAGTGAAAATATCATTTGTCCTAGATAGAACCATATATTATAAAAAATATGATATTTCAAAATTATGTTTTTCAAAATGAATCTATTAATATTAAATTCATATCATTGGTGTAGCTTTATTTCACCGAGTAATAAATTTCACGATCTCTCCGCTCAAGATTTATGAATATGAATTATTAATGAAATAAAAATATCAAACTCAAGAATTGTATGAACGATTTGCAAATTCACATATGCCTTAAGAGAGTAGTACTAGCACGTAGATTTTCGAAAAAAATTTGAAAAAATGAAAAAATTGTAAGGTCTATCGATAATATGGTATGATGAATAATATAACTCTAACAAGGCATCAAGAGTGTATATTACACAAAGAAAAAATGATAAAGGCTTAAGAAAAAAATCGAACCAGAAAAGGATGAAGAAAGAAAACAAAAAAAAAAATCAAAAGAACTAGGGAGTAAAAGTTCAAAATTGTGTAATACTTTGTGTTTTTTTAAAACAAAAAATTACGTATGACTGATAAAAAAAAATATGGAAAAAGGATGATGAGTAAATTAGAACTATCTAAAACATAGTGTGTAATTGATGTATTAATGATTCATAAGATTAATCATAAAAAAGTTCATGTGTCAAAATAATAATGGTAGGACATCATGACATGTCTCAAATAAAGAGACATGGAAGAAATTTTCATTCAATAAACGTATGTGACAATAAACTCTACATGGCATTGATGAGTATCCAATATCCATATATACGTACACCTTCAATTACAAAAGAAAAACCCCAGTTTTCAAATTTACAATTAGGAGGGGATAACTAATTAAACACCTACGTACACACAATTATGTTGGACTACTACAAATGATGAAATAAATTAGAGAAGATAACGAAGAGGATGAAGCTCACACCACTCAACCCGCTCAAAAACCAGTAGTACTTGTCCAAACTACCTCCCTTATTGACATCGTCGGAAAGCCAGCCGGTGAAGCGTTCGAGAAGGAAAATGAGGAGGGAGCCGACGAAGCTTCCGACACCAAACACGCTGGTGTCCACCGCAAACCCCAGCGTCTTCATTGTCGCCGGAACCCCGGAGTAGAAGAACTCCTGCATTCCGACAACAACGAAGATGTCGGAGAGCCCCAGTAGGATGTACTGGGGCAGCAGCCAGAAGATCGTCATCTCCCTCCTCGCCGCGGCCGCCGCCGCCAGCCGCTTGCCCTCCGTGAGGGCGGCGGCCGCCATGGCGGCCACGGACAGGACCATCCCGATGCCCATCCGTTGCCGGACGGTCACCCCCTTGTCTTGTTTCGTCAGGCGGCGGGCGAGGGGGACGAATGCCCTGTCGTAGACCGGCGTAAGGACGATGACGGAAATGGTTATGGCGGTCTGGAGGGCCGCCGGCGGGATCCTGAAGTGGTGGGATCCGACCCTCCTCTCCATTTGCATTCCCTGCTTGATGAAGAAGGTGGCCGGCTGCTGGAAGATGACAGTGAAGGGCAGCATCATCGTCCAAACAGGGAGGAGCCGCAAGACCACTCTCCCCGTTTGGTAGATGTTCTCCATCCCCTTCTTCTCCATGTCCAGTAGCCTTTCTTCTTCTCCTTCAACTCTACAAATTAACAAACAAAACGAGACGACATTTGATTAAATTGAGTCATAATGTACTATATATTATATATCAAAATGTACGTACTATATAGAACTTACTCAATCTCGTCCCCGCCGGAGGATTCGTGAGACGGCAAAACCACCATTTCGGTGGTACCCGCCGCCGCCGCCGCCGGATCCCGGTGAACAAAGAACCGACTGGCGGAGAGGAAAAGGAGGAGGGAGGCGAGCATGGAGAGGGCGGGAATGGAGAACCCGAGCCCCCATCCGAACGTCTCTTGAACAAAAGACACGAGGGAGCCGCAGCAGACTCCGAAGTAGGACCACTTGAAAAAGGCGCTCTTGTCTTCCTCTCCGCCGCTGTCGTCTTCCAGCTGCTCGGCGGCCAAGGCTTGTAACGCCGGTTTATAACCGGCGTTGCCGAGCGAGATGAAGAAGAGGGACGCCGAGGTTGTCTTTATCCCGGCGGCCCCCATTAGGGTCGTTGATGCCAAAACAACCAACCCCTACATACGTTGTACACCATTAAAAACAAAACAAAACAAAAAAACAAAAAGTTGAGTGAAATTGTATAACATGGTTCGTTGTCTAGAGGAGAGGCCAAATAAATAAAATGAAAAGGAGATAGATAGAAATGAAACCCACGTACGAGAAGATAGACAAGTGCAGAGGCGAAAATGGTGGAGTGATGAGGATGACGGAAGTAAGAGTTGGCCAAGGGCGCCACCACGAGCGGCAGCACGAAGGTGACGCCGCTCCAGTAGTTGACCACTTTCGCCGCCGACGAGTTGCCCATGCGGACGACTTGGGTCAGAAAGGTGACCATGTTGGAGGCCACCCCTTTGAAAACAAACCTCTCCGTCCCAGCAATCGCTGTCATTTGTTTAAAATCAGAAGATGCATGCATGCATGCAATGGAGAAGAAGAAAGGATATCTGAAAGAAAGAAAGAGACGTACGTACCTATGAGAAGAATGCATGGCCTTGTGATGGTCAGTTTCCTTGCTGCAGCTGCGTCGGCTGCGGCCATCTTTCTTCACTTTTCTTTCTAGGGGAGTGAAGATCAGTTATAGTTGCTTAATTGGGGCAGGAGAGTTGATGAAGAGATCATCGAGCTGTAGAAGTTTGTGATGATTTGAACTGAGATGATGTGTTTACGTTCATGCTTTGGATCGGACTATAAATACAAGTGTAGTAGTGTTATGCATGGGCCGCCAACCCATGCGTTAAAATTAAAGGATCGGAGGAGGTGGAAATTAAAGTGCATGCATGGATAAATTAGGTTGTCTTACCCCACGTGTGTTAATCGTTTAGCATGCAGCAAATAAAAGGAGGAGAGGGTACCATTTAATTTATACTTCCGATGTTCCAAAGCATGCAGACACCATAGAAAGTTAAAAAGAAAAGCACTCGCCCAAATATAGCAATATACTTACTACACTGCACGTACCGCCCATTCCTATCTCATTAATACATATTTGCTCCCTCCAAATTTAGCCTTTCCTTTTAAATACTTTTTCAATGTCCAATTGAATTGCTTATTTTCATTTACCAATTAAGTTGACCCCATTTAATTAAAGAGAGATGTAAAATTAAGAGTATATTCTTTAAAAAGTCTTTTATAATAACTAGGGAGTTTCTATATTTAGTCATTTTTTTTACTAATTATTAAATTTTTAGTCTCTAATAATATTTGATGAGTAAATTAGTTATATATCAAGGTGTCTTAAATAAAAATTGGCCAAGGTGGTATTGCACTTTCTTGAAAATTAGTTTCATAGTACAATTGTAAATGTCTAGATCAATAAAAATATATATTGAATCTTAAGTGCACACTAAAATTATTTTATTCTTATTAAATCTAAACTATATACAAAAAACATGTCTTAAAATTATCTTATTAAATCTAATCTCTTTAATTTTTGTACTATTATTTAAATACCACCAATATTGCACCATTTTGTACTATTCTTAATTTAAATTTTGGTAAGAACTAACTATTCATCGCACATTAAGATAAAGTTGTGAATTTTGAATTTTTTAATTTCCCAAATAGGTGCATATATTTTATTAAGGTCAATTATTCTGCCCGGGTTAGAAACTAGCAGTGGAGAAAAGGTGGTAGTACGTTCACTTTGCCCACTCCGTTTATTTTGAAACCTAGCATGTGGCCAGTCTTGGAAGGAATTTAATGAATACGGAGTATTCAATACTCAGGTCTCGGTTGAAAATAGAAATTACTCCACATCCTTCAATGAAGTGAATGGTAAAAATAGATGTTGTACTCTCTTACTCCCTCCGTTTGGAAAAACCCTTCCCATTTGATTTGTGTGCAAAAATAAAGAAGTGTTAAATTATACTGTAGTTGATTTCCAATTTTGCCCCTGATGTGATGGGTAAAAGTAAGATGTGATGGATAGATTATTAGAGAAAAAGTATGATGTGATAGGTAGGGTATGAAAAAGTATGGGGTAAAAGTGGTTTTTTAATAGAAATGGGAAGTGTTTTGTTGGAAGTGGAAAAAATAAAAGAGGAAGTGTTTTTTAGAACGGAGGGAGTATTATCTTTTTAATGATTCAGTAAAAACATAGTGCTCCCTTTCATGAAGGTGCCATTTTTCATATTAGGAGCATTAACAAAAATCACCCAGGCACATGCAACACACTTAAATTTCAAAATAGTTATTACACGAAATTCAGACTATAGAATTAGAATTGAAAATAACAATTCCAGTTCTGATGTTTGTTAACACAAAAGTATGTTGATTTAGAGTTCGTTTGTAATGCCAAAAATGAATTTGAATTAGAGAACTAAATTCCATTCAAATAAATTCATAAAATTTCAACTCTCAATTTAATAATAATTCTGCCAATTTCGTGTATCAAAGAAACCCTAACTTCATTAATTAAGATTGTACATAAACAAAATACAAATTAGAATAATTTTTAATAAAAAAAGTGAAAAAAATAATGGATCGCCCTAGCCGCTTCTACAAGGGGGTCAATATACACCGTCCCGGCGACCCCTTTACATACCCCTTTAGCTAGATGAGGTCGCCGTGCCTGGGGTTTACACCATTTCATGCCTGCCACTAGCGAAGGGGTATGTAAAGGGGTCACCGGGACGGTGTATATTGACCCCCTTGTAGAAGCTGCTAGGGTGATCCATTACTTTTTTCACTTTTTTTTATTAAAAAGTATACTAATTTGTATTTTGTTTATGTACAATCTTAATTAATTAATGAAGTTAGGGCTTGTTTGATACACGGAATTGACACAATTAGAATAGAATTGAGAGTTGAAATTTTATGAAATTTATTTGGATGAAATTTAGTTCTCTAATTCGTATTCGTTTTCGGCACTACCAAAAGTAAGGGTAAAAGTGGTTTTTTAATAGAAAGTAGAAGTGTTTTGTATGAAGTAAAAAAATGAAAGAGGAAGTGTTTTTGAGAACGGAGGGAGTAAGAATTTAGAGTTTTTAAAAACTTATTGAAAGCCGAGTACATGTCGATTTGGATCGAGTATAGGTCGGGTCGGTCAAATATACTAACCCCAAACCCAACCCGACAAAATGTCGGATTGTGTTTAATTTTTTTCAGGTAGATTTTGGATATTTATTTTTCAGTTTGGATTCGGATATTATACGCTCCGGTCGTGCCGGTAAAAGCCGGATTCAGGTAAATAAAATATGGAAAAACATCCCACGTTTATTGTTTGTTTACCCGGGAGACTCAGAGTAAAAGCAAAAGGAGTAGATTGGAGTATATATATAGACGGAATATTGCCCTTAAACCAATCCACAAACAACTCTCTCCTTTCCCATCTCACTCTTTCTCTCTTCATTCTCCTAGTCTTCTTTTTCTCGCCCGCTGCAAAATGAAGCGTTCTTACACAGAGGCGGCGGTAGCACTGGCGGTGGTGCTGGTGGCAGCTGCGGTTGTGACACCTCCCATACGGAGGGAGTTCAAGGAGGAGGAAGAGTGGGAGGGGCCGGCCGACTTTGACCCCGAAATGATAATTGACATCACCTACCCCATTCTTCAGCCCTTGTTTGTTTACGCTCGCAACCCCGCCGGCGGTCTTAGCCGTTCCGACTACTTGCCGGTGGGTGTTGGTGTGCCGGAGGAGCTGGTCGCCTCCATGAAGGCCGGGGTACGTACGTCCCAAATTAATATTCAATCAACCCATCAAAATAAAAAAATGTTTCATTAATTATTACAATATGATTCTGATGACTTGATTAATATAAACCCTTAATTTGCAGGGTATGATTCCAGCGCCGGAGGGGCTGAAGCTGGCTGAGGTCGCCGGACCATTTGGGGCTAGGGCGACCCCTTCTTGATCGATTTCACTTTAAAAAATAAACTATTCTAATTCGTATTATATTATGTTTATGTATGAAACTTAATGTGTTGTTCCGTTTTAATTAAAAAGTGTGCTCGTGATCGACTCGTAATTCAATTATAATTGTTTGGTTCCTCGTAACAAATACGCTTCCAAAATAAAAGATGTTTAAGAAAAAAAAAATTATACTCAATTCATCACCCCCGCAATTCCCTTAAATTGAAGTAATTAGCAGCTTTAGTATTAATCCACCGAGTTTTTTTTAGCTGCGCAACTAAACCATTTAGATCTTACTGAAGAACTTAAAGCTTAAATATATCCACAAATTAAAAACATTTTAATAATCCAAAACATTTTACGGAGTAATGATCCAAAACATTATACTTTGTCAGAATGGGTCATGGGTCGTCAGCGGCATCTATCCTTCACTCCTTGGGAATGCTTTTTAATTAAAAACTTGCACTGACAGGGAAATGCCCCGGCCAGTAACTTCTAGCCAGTACGGATTAGTGAATAACTCAGCCTTCCAAAACCCACTAAATTTAATTTAAAAAATTAAATTACATAAGAAAATAAAAAATTAAAATGTAGGAGAAATGATAAAAATAGTAATAAAAAATTAAAATTATAGACAAAATCAAAGAATAGAATAAAAAACTGATAATATTTTTTTTTAAATAGATAAAAAATAGTTTTAAAAATGAATACTACAAATAAAAAAATTAAAAATAAAAGATTTCCATTCCCTCCAAACCAAACAAGGTGAAGGGAATCCTTCCCTTTCCTTCCCATTCTCTCCCATCCATTCTTTCCCCTCCCCACCCCTCCAACCAAACATACCCTAAAAGCTACGTACTCCTTGCTTCTTTATTACAGAGTATGTAGTAGTACTTACCTTCTGTTTCTGTTATAAATTATCATGTCGGAGAGATGAATTTCTTTTTAATTCAACTTTGAAAAAAGTAAATATAAAATTTATATATCTAAAAAAATTCTACAAAACTAAAGATAACTTTTGCGTATTTGACCAAGGCTCAGGATATGAATTGTTATGATAAAAAATGAATTCGGCTATTACTTTCAAGAAGAGTGCTTATTTCGTGCACCTTGGTCCTTAAGCACATATCATTTTTATGAACTTTAATTTCTCATATTAAATATCTTTTTTGTTGGATTTCTATAAGGAAGAACACTGCGAAGCAGTGTTAAACGAAGAACTTGATAGTATAACGAATCGCGTATGAAACACTTTCAGATCAAAGTTATTTCAGGGTATACGAAACACTTCAATCAGATAAGACGTTAATCAATTACAAGCACTCGAAATCGGTCCCTCAACCCATACGAAAATACTTATGATCGGACATGAACGTTCGCTTAGACGTACGCGTACGTTCGTGCGAGGAAGAAGAAAGGCGCGAGTTTGAACGAAAGGTCTCGTGCGGTTTTTAGGCTCTATTTCGATGTTATCCACAGTGTACGAGTCCTTTACCGTTTTGGACTCCGGTGACAAAAATCTTAAGAATATTTATAAAGAAACAACGTCCAAAATTAAAAATGTCCTTATATTTAATTTTATATTTTCCGTTCAAAGAACACCACTCAATTGCCCAACAGCTCAACCTTATCTGTAATTCTTGACCTTAATCACCATAGGGCCTGTTTAGGAATAGTATTAGAGATTAACGTTAGCGTTTTGGATAAAATTTTAACGGTGTAGATTACTTTAAAAAGACTAACCCTAAACGCTGCTCGTAGATAGACTTTTCAAAAACGCTAACACTAAATTAAATGCTAATGGCCAAACATGCCCATGGCCTATTCGCCTGTGTTGTTCGAGAGCAAAGGATTCGCCGAGAGGCTTCGCCGTCTCGCAGAGTCCCAGCAATTGCCAATTCGCCGAGAGCCTTCGCCTTCAGTCCCACTGCCCAGCGCCGACTGCCCAGTCGCCCACTGCCCAGCTCCGAGTCGCCGACTTCCTCAATCCCAATTGAATCAGGTATGGGTACTCATCTCGTCTCCCTCGTCTCCTTCTCTCTAATCCCTAGTCTTCTTGTCGATTAGGTTTCTTCTTGTTAAATTATTCCCATGTTATTTGTAGGGCTTAGCAAAATTGTTTTATTCTTAGATTATTTTTCCAAATAACATTTGAAACTTTTAAATTTGGCTAAGGTATTCAAGCATAGCTGATTGTCAATTACTCCGTATTAAAAAAAACAGCAATGTCAATTGTTAAGTTCTTGTGCTTACTCAATGACTAAGTAGTTATTGAATGGTTTATGTGATACTTACTGGATGTTGTTCTTGTGCTTACTCAATCACTAAGTAATTATTGAATGGTTTCTCTATGTTGTTAACATAGTAATTTCACTAATTTGTAACTCAATAATATTGGGGTGCTAATTTATTTGATTGCCCATTTGGATTGATGGTACTTGTTAAAGCTGTCACTAGCTAAGTATGATGATGCCTTGCGTTTTACAAGTTGAAGTGGGCTTCAAAATTACAATTTGTATGTTTGGGTTTGGTTTTATGTTTAGGTCTATGGTGAAGAAGCTGTTGGTTCTTGAATTTGGAATCTTGGGGGACCAATAAGGATTATAATTGTTGCTGTTATATGGATGCAGCAACATCTTCAGGGTACAGAAGCATTACTAGATCATAGGATCAGAATTTAGTGCATAACGTACAGGAGCATTGGTTTTCTGGATTTGAAGTTTCATGAGTTGCACTGTATTTCTGAATTTAGATGGATGTTGCTACTTACTATTTCTTTTATGAATTACATTTTGTAGTGTTTTGGTTGTATAAGATTTAAAAAATTCAACTAAAAAAAAAATTCGGTCTAATCGGTCTATTCGGGTTTGGTCTAAGAGTTTTCGGTCTGGACCGGTCCAAGACCGACTGAGAATAGGTTCGGTCTTCGGTCCTATATTTTTCCAATTTCGGTCTTCGGTCTGGTCCGGTCCGGTCATGGACCGATGAACACCCCTATTCACCGACATTAAACAAAACCCTAGAAGAGGTAGATGGAAAGAACAAAGAACGCGGTATGTGTTGCGACTTACGAGTCGATCGGAATTTCAAAATCAAGAGCACGGTATATGAGTTTGCAGTGAACTAATTAATCAAGGCGAAGTTGTTCTCCACTTTTTAAGGTTAACTCTATCATCTACGGAGTATTAATTATCTTGAGTTTCAATTCACTATCCATTTTTTATATGATGTCTTCTAATTGCTTATTGGGACTATGATTAATCCTTGGCTTAGAGTTGTATGTTTGATGCAATTTGATGTGTTCTTTTAATTTGTTTCAACAGATTTCTTTGGCTCTTGAATTGAATTTGAGATGTGTTTTTGTTCTTTTGACGCCATAAGCTATGGGAAATTTATGTAAAATATGTGAATCTATCAATAATGTTTATTATTTAAATATATACTTGATAATTTTAATTTTCTTTCTAAGTTTATGTGATTCTGAAATCCCATTTGTGATAATGTGCTGGATTAGGCATTTAATAATTATGCTTTGTATTTAGGATTGACTTTTACCACTAAAACTTATTTCCAAGATAAATTGTGGTATGTTATTAAAAGAGGTTTTTTCTTGGTTTCACATGAATATCGCTTGAACATTGAACTCTACTTTTAGCACTGGACTCCTTTTTGGTACAATGAAGTTTATATGTGACTTTTTTTAGAAGTCAGAGTTCTATAAATAAAAAAGGGAGATGTGCTTGTGTTCAAAATTTAATCTATGGTTTGGCTTTGTTAGAGTTGAATAATCAAAACAGATTGAGTGATCAAACTCTGGACTTCTTAAAAATGTATGATCAAGAAGTGAGATTGCTACCACAGGACCCTATGCCACATCTAGATACATTTGGGTTATTGACTCACAATTATGGAATGAACATACCAAAGTTTTCAGATCCAATTTAGTTCTTGTATCACTTAGCTTTTTCATTTTCTAGGCTATTAAAGTATCAAGCTAAGGTATAATCATTTTCAGCTACTAGGGTCACTAACTCCAGGCATTTTGATTAATAGACAGTGATTTTCTATGTTCTATTATTCTCTCTAAGCATATTGTCTTATAAGTGAGGCTCTTACATTTTTGTTAATCCCAACTCCTATTAAGTGCTGCAATTGACATCTTATATGACCACATCTAAAATGTTGACTTCAATTAGGGAGCATTTAAATTCTTTTTTTTTTTTTTTACAAAATTACACCAGGGCAAAAAAAGGCATATCACTTTTTAAAAAAAAGTTAATTGATCAATATGAGAATACTTTTGAAAAAAAAGAGAGAAGGGTATTTCCATGAAATAAAAAACCGATCTTGGCGATCTTGATAAGAGTGGCCATGAATCCATGATGAGCTTCCCTTGTGTGGTGAAGATCTAACTTCCTTTGTGTGACGGCAGCGAACAGGGTCAGCGACATCATCACCTCCTCCAGCGATGAACAACAACGACGCTTGTCCTTGCCCTACTCGGCTTCTGGTAAGGATATTTGGTATAGTATTTCAACCAATTTCGCTCCTAGACGTGACTGGTTAGATTTTCACTCTAAATTGATTTCTTTAAGCCTTTAATTCTTTGAATTTGGGGTCGGTTTTGGAACGATTTAGTGGTTAACAACGAATTTAGGTTAGGGTTATAAATGGTGGGGTCTTGACAGTGCTACTATGTTCGATCTTGGGCAGAGAGGGGTCTGTGGGTAGGGATGCTCGGCTGATGAATCGATATGGACTATAGGTTCAGAGTAGAACTGCTGCAACAATGAGGCTGGGCTAGAGAATTGGGTGAAAGGGTGGGCTAGGCACGGATGGTTGGGAGGGGCCGGCTTTTTAGATATGTACTGTCCACATGCATATTTAGGATCGGCTTTTTAGGCCGAGGTATCTTTGTGCTTACTCTTGTATAAATAGCTCGCAACAGCCCAAAGAAGAAACTCGCAATTCAAACTGCATTCCTCTGATCTTTTCCTAATTAATTACTCCGTACCAATTATCCATGAACAAGTTTTCTACCGAGTATCTGGTTCTTCATTCTTCCTTTATTTCATTACTTTTTCGGTTTTTACATACTCCTTCCGTCTCTAAATAGATTACAATCTTTTTTTCTCTCTCCTCTCGATAACTTTTGTTTGTTTACGTGATTTCATCAAGTATTTGATAAAATAAAATATTCTTGTCACCTCTTGTTTTGTAGAACTTTTGATGTAGTTTTTTAATATGTAATTTTTATAGTTTATTGATATACCAATTTGTAAATAAAATGATTTCAAAAAGTAGAAAATTTTACTCCGTAACCCGCAATTTGTAATCAAATTGGGGACGAGGGAGTATATCTTTAGAGAACAGTAGTAATAAAGAAATTAATTTTTTTCTTACAGCCACCATCCAAACACGCTATATATAAATCTCCCTTTATTCAACATGCACCATAATAATTACAAAGAACCTCGCAAACTCTCTTTGTTAAACACATTCTTCACTATTTTCCTAATTATTTACCCCTAAACAAGTTTTCCACGTGGTTATTCTTCCTTCCTTTCCTCATTTTCCCGGTTCTGGGGGGTTTCCGCCGGCAATGATTGCGGCGATGATTCCGGCGCCGACGGCCAACATCGGTCGGAGGCCCTCAAGTACAAGCTCATCGCAGTCGCCTCCATTCTTTCGAGCGGGGCGGTCGTCGTCTCGATCCCGCTGGTGGCCGGGAGGAGGTTTCCGGCGTTCACGCCGGAGAGTAACCTCTTCGTCCTCGTGAAGGCGTTCGCCGCCGGCGTGCTCCCGGACGCGTTCGAGAGCTTGGGCAGTCCATGTCTGCCTGAGAAGCCGTGGGGCGAGTTCCCCTTCCCCGGCCTGGTGGCCATGCTGGCGGCGATCGCCACCATGATGGTGCACATGGCGGCAACGAGCTACTACATGAGGGCCCATGGGCATGCCCACGGCTCGCCCCCGTCACCCTCCGGCTTCCAAAACCTATGAATCAATATTATTAAAAACTAGTTTAACAGTGATATGATCAGAAAAATCAAATGAAATACAGTATACAATTTTTATATAAACTTTTAATACACTCATTCGGTCTAACTACAATACACACACACACACAAATAGATTTATTTTAAAATATTCTTTTGAAAATTATATTTTCATAGTATATGTATATATAAATAGAAAATCATCAAAAAAAATAATAGAATTTTTAACGGTTAAAAATGTTAAATTGGAGAAGGTAAAAAGTTAAATGGGAAAACAAATTAGGAACTAACAAAGGAAGTACTATACAATAGTATCGTTGGTTTCCAAACACTATTGATTATGTCTTGACAAATAGGAAAGAAATACTCCTCCGTCCAAAAAAGGATATATTCCCTATTCAAAAGTAATTAAAAATACTCCGTAGAACAAAAGAGGTTTACTTAAAATTTACGGACTCCCTCCGTTCTTAAAAATTCTTCCTCTTTCATTTTTTTTACTTCCAACAAAACACTTCCACTTTCTATTAAAAAACCACTTTTACCCTTACTTTTTCATACCCTACCTATCACATCATACTTTTTCTCTAATACTCAATCCATCACATCTTACTTTTACCCATCACATCAAGGGCAAAATTGAAAGTCAACTACAATTTAACACTTCTTTATTTTTACACAAAGTCAAAATAGGAACACTTTTAAAAAACGGAGGGAGTAATAAATAAAGTTATGGTGCTCAAAAAATAAAGCTCGTAAAATAAACAGTATTGTACCTCTGAGATGACAGCGAACCGCGGGCATGCCCATGGGCGCTCTTGTAGTTGCTCGTGGCCGCCAAGTCCACCATCATTGTGTCGTTCGCCGCCAGCATGGCCACCAGGCCGGGGAAGGGGAATTCGCCCCACGGCTTCTAGGGCATGCAGGCATAGACTGCCCGAGCTCTCGAACGGGTCCGGAAGCACGTGGACGAACCCGGTGGCCAAGATCACGCCGGCGGCGAACGCCTTCACCAGGACGAAGAGGTTACTCTCCGGCGTGAACTCCGGAAACCTCCTCCCGGCCACCAGCGAGATCGAGACGCCGACCGCCCGCTCGAAAGAATGGAGGCAACGGCTACGAGCTTGTACTTCAGGGCCTCCAACCGATGTTGGCCGTCGGCGCCGGAATCATCGCCGCAATCATTGCCGGCGGAAACCCCAGAACCGGGAAAATGAGGAAAGGAAGGAAGAAGAACCAAGTGGAAAACTTGTTCAGGGGTAATTAATTATATTAGAAGAAGAGTGAAGAATATACTACTCCCTCCCTCCCAGAAAATATGGGAGTTTTGGTTTTAAAGAGAGATTTAAGGGGAGTGTATTTTGGTATTGAATTTCCAAAAATGTCCTTTGATGTGATGGGTAAAAGTATGATTTGATGGATAGATTATTAGTAAAAAGGTATGATGTGATAGGTAGGGTATGAAAAAGTAATGGGTAAAAGTGACTTTTTAATAGAAATGAGAAGTGTTTTTTGGAACGGATAAAAAAAGAAAGGAGAAAGGTTTTCTGGGACAGAGGGAGTAACAAAGAGGAATGGAGTTTGATGCATTCCCAGCTAGGAGCGAGTCCTCTATATAATCCTAGGTATCACGCACGTGTTGTTTTGCAAAGGATGGGCTCAACTTTAATTTCTGTCATCATTTAATTTAATGTAACGGTTGCAACTTGCAAGTGCACAACCTTTTTGAATGTAATTTAGGGGTATGGGAATCAGTGCACAGCCTTTTTGAATCCAAACAAGAGTAATTATGTACGGAGTTCTCTCTAATATAAGTGAAATTTGCAGTAAATAGGATTAAAACATAATGACTTTTCTAATGTAGGATTTAAACTTTTTTATTCCCTAAATAGGACTTGATAATGACCTTGTGGGAGGAATAATGTCCAGTAATGATGGACATTTAGTTGAATAATGACTACATGATAATGACCAAAGATCCTACATTGGGAAATAAAAACATATGGCCCTATATTGGGAAAGTCATTATGTTTTAGTTCTATTTAGGTAAATTACTTTTACCCCTTACTTTTTCATATCCTATACCTATCACATCATACTTTTTTACTAATAATCTACATATCACATCTTACTTTTACACATCACATCAAGGGTATTTTTGGAAAGTCAACATCAAAATATCCCTCTCTTAATTTCCCAAAAAGTCAAAAATGAAAGTTTATTTAGGGACGGAGGGAGTACATATTTCAAAAGTTTAAATTTAAGTTTTAATATATTCATTCATAATGTTGGTATAATAAAAAAAATTCTGCATTGATATTTTGTGTTAATATGAGTTAATTAATCATCAGATATGAATCTTGTACGATAAGTACTATCCAAATAGAGAAGAACTTCGAGCTGAGCATCTTCGGACTCTAAGAAAGGGGAGGCAAATAGAGATGGAAATATGTAGGAATGGAAAAACTTATGCTTTCGCGAATACTCCTTCAACTTACATTAGCGTTGAATAATTGATACTTTCATTAATTTGTCGTTAATTCATACATTTCTTTTCATTTTCCATCATAAATGCATGTGAGGGACTTACTCTTTCATATTGTTGAACCATATTTAATATACGTCCATTTTTTTAATTATAATAAGTTACTAATATTTTTATTCGTCCAATAATTTTGAATAATACTACGTAATAACTAATAAATTACTCTTGCTTTTATTAGTCATCAACTTTTCAAAACACTCACTGTCTTAAAATATTTATTAAGTTTTGATTTTTTACGATTAATCATGATTAATATTTGATTTATAATTTCAATTAAAATGAATCTACAACAATTATGACTCAATTTTATTTAAAAAACATAGAGTTTCTCATATTATTTACCATAGAAAATGGAAAAATGATGAACTAACGATAAAATTAATCAAAAAAATTAACCATGCAATGTTAACATGATTTGAAAGATTGTTCATAACATTTTCAAAGTTAAAAGACTAATCATAAGCCATACAAAAATTTGAAAGACTAATGATGTAGTTTAACCCTAATCTTAGGAGACGTCTAATTTTATGGGGAAGCATCAAATGAAAAATACCCCATCATATTCATTTACATCTGTGCAAGTAAAATTTTTTAAAGGTACACTTTTTTTCACATACTTGCAAGATAATGATGGCTTGGTATATTCACTAAAAAGGAAATTAGACCCATTAAACTTATGAGAAGGACAAATCAAATTTTTGGTTCAATATGGCATCTAGGTCCATGCCCCTATTAATTGTTTAATAATGGAGAGTGATGGGCAGCATACCTATAAATATTGCCATATTGCCATCATGCATTGCTATCTTTGGGCGAGTGGATTATCCTCTTCCATTATGGCCATATGGAATGGTTTTACATTAATAAAGTAATAGTGTACTTTTCTTTTACTCCGGGTAATTTTCTTTGATGGGTGACATCATGTAAATACCTCGTATTTGGTGCATTGATTTTTTTTGAAGGAAATTTTGGTGAATTTATATTTTCCTCTATTCCTATATTTAAAATTACGAAGTAAAATTATACAATTTCAGAAATTATTTTATTTATAAATTGATATATCAATAAGAAATAAAAATATATGTTAAAAAACTACATCAAAAATTTTACTTCCTTCGTCCCATAAAATAGTTCAACTTTATTTCTTCATCTTATTATCCCATAAAACATTTCAATTTCTTCAAAATGGACTAGGATACCCCTTTTTAACCCTACTTTCTCACAACAAATCAATCACATCTCATACTCCTTCCGTCCACCTAAGTTCTTCCCGTTACGCGTTACGAGGCTTGACCGACTTTATTTTCAATTCAATTTAATTGATTATAGGAGTAAAATTTTCAAATAGAATTTATATAGTAATAAACTACATGAAAAGTTCTACAAAACTAGAGGTGACAAAACTATATTATTTTACGAAATGGCTAGTAAAAATGAGCAAACAAAGTGAGTAAAGTTTGACCCTGTGAATAGTGTCTGGGAAGATTTATGGTGGACAGAGGGAGTATTACTTTTTTAGTTTTTAATTATTACTACCTTCATCCTAGAGTATTTGTCCATTTTCATTTTTACACACCATCTAATACACTTATTTAATCCATTTTATCTTGTAATTTGTATATTAAAAAATTATAGAAATTATATATTAATAATCTATATGTTAAGACAAATCAAACAAGATCACACATGATTATATTTAGACTTACACATTGAAATAGTTTGATGAGTCAAAGTGCTTAGATGAACAGTTTCAAAAGTTAAAACTGGACGAATATTCCGGGACGGAGGGAGTATTTCATACTATTAATCACTATTCAAGTATTCATGATTTGAAACATGGCTTTTTTCAACAAAAAAACCTTAAGGGTAAAATTGAAAAGTCAAACATCAAAAATACTTCCCTTAAAATACCAAAAAGACTAGAGGAGACATGGCGCTGCTTACCCAGACCATCTTCTTGGACGGTGCGAGGTGATTGCCTCTGTACTCTAGTGACATTAATTTGTCACCTAGCTAGGAAGGTAATTCCTTTATCACTTACTGTGTAGGACGGATTGCTCGAACGTCATCAATAATTTTTCTTTGAATTTGGCCTCTAAAGTCCGATTTCCTTTGGATTCTTCTTTGCCGACACTCTCCATCCATAGAAATCATATCGGGTAGATTCCCAAGGGATGGGTTTACTGAAATATAAACCGGTTGACTATCCGAAGTGTACCGGTCAACTTTATGGTCAACCAAATACCCTCTTATTGTTGTTTTAGACATCCCATCCCATAAAATCAAACTTGATCGGTTGAATATTTGAACGTCTTCTTTGAATGGTTCTAAATAGAATACACCCATCAGTCATTATTCAAGTAAATGTCCATCATCACTGGACATTACTCTTCCTACTAGACATTATTAAGTTCTATTTAAAAAATAAAAATATTCATATCCTATGTTGAGAAATGACTTATTTTTAGTTCTATTTAGGGCCTGTTCTTTTGGACTTGAACTCTTAACTTCCAGTTTTTTCCAGTTCCTTCCAGTTTTTTCCAGTTTCTTCCAGTTCCTTCCAGTTTCTTCCAGTTCTTCCAGTTTTTTCCAGTTCCTTCCAGTTCCTTCCAGTTTCTTCCAGTTTTTTCCAGTTTCTTTTAATTTCTTCCAACTAAATTTATTTTCTTCAAATTCTTTCTACCTTCTGACAAATCACTCTAAAAAAATACTCCCTCCATCCCTGAGTGTTTGTCCACTTTCATTTTGGCACACCATCCAATGCACTTTTTTTGAGTCAAAGTGCTTAGATGAACAGTTTCAAAAATCAAAAGTGGATAAACACTCAGGAACGGACCAAGTATATTATTGTTATAATTATTATTATTATTACAAATTTTTTTAATTACAACTTTTATGTTCATAACTATAGTTTATAAATTATTTCATTTTTTTCATTTCACTATTTTTATGATTCACATTCATTATTTTTTTCTTCAACTTTTTAAAACAAAATCTTGTAGTATATAAAATATAATTAAAAATATAAATATATTATTTTATACTTCGTAATAAATACAGCATGGCCATAATAACTCTTAACTTTTTAACATTTTGATATTTATGCTAATTAATTTTTTAAACTATCTTTATATGTATGAAAATAATATTCGTAATATTTTTTTATTTTAAAGGCAATCATTTAGATAACGTGATAACACCACCACTACCACCACCACCACCACCAACAACAACAACAACAACAATAACAATAATTATTATTATAATAATAGTAATAATAATAATTTATATCAACAAGAATCAGAATGAGAATAATTTAAAACCACACATAAAACTTTTTTCAAAACTTTTTTTAGATTTTACAATTTATTCTGGTTTTTTCAATTTCTTTTAATTTTTTCCAGTTTCTTCCAGTTTCTTCCAGTTTGTTCCAGTTTGTTCCAGTTTCTTCCAGTTTCTTCCAGTTTCTTCCAGTTCTTCCAGTTCCTTCCAGTTTCTTCCAGTTTCTTCCAGTTTCTTCCAGTTTTTTCCAGTTTTTTCCAGTTTCTTCCAGATTCCAGCTCTTTTTTTCCAGTCCTAAAGAACAGGCCCTTAGTGCAAATATTTCTTATACAAAAGGTGTGAACATAGCTAGCATTTAGAGTGTAGATATAGCATCCTTTTTAAATGTGATAGTGTAAATTACCTAACCCGATAAACAATACTAGACTGGGTTTCTAACTGTTTACTGAATTCGTAATAGTGAAAGATAAAAACACTTAAAGTGCTCGGGACGATAGTAGGTGGAGATACCTATAGCCCAATTGATATTATAAATATGGGAGAATACACGGAAGTTTTTACACGGGAGTTTTTAGAGGGAAGAAATCGTATCCCTTACTTTGAAGGTTACAACAGTATTTATACTAAGTTAAGGGAGACAAAACGCCGCATACCCACTTCAGGGTACGTTCCTAAGATGGTGTGGGGTGATTGCTTCTGTCCTATAGCGATTTTGTCAACT